TCGGAGGTGACCCCGAGGAGAGAGTTCTAGTGCCACCTAAAGCTTGTTAGTAGCTAGCTTAGTACGTTTTAAGACTAACATGGTCGATTTCGTGTCGTCACATTTACAGTCACTAATTGCAGATTCGCCAACTTAACCGGTTTGAGGGCCGAATTCCAGGCCAGTTTAAAAAAGTTGTAAAATTAGCAGTTGCTACAGTAGGAACGTATGTGCGACAGGGTCGCACATTTGACGGCGAAAACTCTGATTGGACAGGACAACTATTTCAGTCGTTCTGCGAGACCGTGCGGCGTCGTACGTGATAGTCGCTCAGGGTGTCGACTACTTGGCCGAATTGGAGTCGACATGGTGTCGGATACGAGTCGACTTTCAAAACGGCCATCAAATTCAATTTTAATTGGTGAAATTAACACTGGTTGTGAGTGTCTTTGTAATTTTCGCAAACGGCTACTTTCGCCAATTCGGCCATTTGGCTAGTGGCCTAATTTTTAGGTGCGGCGATTCTACAAGCCCTAAGTGTATGCACTTGAAAAAACTCATATCTTCACAACTATATGCATGAGCGACGCACGAATCCTAACACGTTTGACTCGAAGCTTTCCGAACATGTCAGATTTACCGAACAGTATTGCAGAAAATGCATGTTAGAGAGTTTGCCTTCAGAGCCGAACACTCAGATGTTCTCCTGAACATTTCAAGTCTCATCATGAACTCCAATATGTTTCCGCTACCAAATTTACTAGAATATTTACTGTAAACACATCTTGGGGGGTTTCCGCTACCAAATTTTTGCGCTTCACTGTTTCGATTCTATCGTAACAGTCTTTTTGCAATTTTTGCCCAGCCAACCTCCCATCCAAAACCCACCGTACCACAATGCACCTCCCAAACCCAACCAGGCCTGCTGACTCGAGCAAACACACACTCACTTCACACGCTACCTCCCACAATTACGATAAACCCAATCCGCGCACATCATGGCACTAAACCTAATCTGCGTATATCATGGCGCTAAACCTAATCTGCGCACATCATGGCGCTAGACCTAATCTGCGCACATCATGGCGCTAGACCTAATCTGCGCACATCATGGCGCTAAACCTAATCTGCGCACTTCATGGCACTAAACCTAATCTGCGCACTTCATGGCGCTAAACCTAATCTGCGCACATCATGGCGCTAAACCTAATCTGCGCACTTCATGGCGCTAAACCTAATCGACGCACTTCATGGCGCTAAACCTAATCTGCGCACTTCATGGCGCTAAACCTAATCCACGCACTTCATGGCATATGTAAGTGGCTACGTAGTGCCTAAGCTATTACTTACTAACCATTAGCTAGAGTGATTGAGATCGAAATTATCTCAATCTAATTTCTGCAACCCTAAATTGCAAACCAGCGCAGCCAATGCTCGCTGGTTTTAATCGCGAACACGTTGAAGTTCGCGCAGGTCGTTTTCGAACTCGAACATGTTGGAGGTTCAAGGCGGCGCGTCAGAAAAGACCATCCAAATCGAACATATTCGGCCCGAACTCGAACACGTTCGGGTTGAACACTTTCAGCAAAAAATTTCGAGTCGAACCAAATAGGTGTTCAAAAATCTGCTCACAATTCACAACTGTTTTCCTGCATTCCTGTGCAAGTTCCAGAGCACACATGCTGTGGCCTGTACATGAGCAAATGAATGCGTGCTTTCCTATGTTTTTGTTTCAGTATTCCCCTGCCATGCCCTATGCCTCATTCAGGAATTTTGGAAACAACCATTTCACAGGAACCTTCCCAGATTTTATTATGCGCCAGGAGTTCCTTTCTATCCTGTAAGACCATCCACTCGTGGCCTTGAACAAAAGCGAGGTGCACTAAAGGAGCAAAAACACAAGCAAAACAAAGTGCCGAGCCGAGCCGGCACGCTGTCGTTTGGATTGAATCCAGCCGAACTGCACAGAGGAGCCTTTTATTCATGCCTGTGATCCATCCATGCGTGACCTCACTCAAACAAAGGCAGGTTGCACTGATGAAGTAACTGCTGCCATTTCTTGCAGTACTTCCAACAGCAACTACCTGAACAACTCGAATGGCAATCGCAGTCAAAATGGCCATGGCATGGCAGGAACTTGGCCAACAACAGTTTCACAGGGACTATCCCCCGCGAATTGACCAAGCTTGTCTACCTGAGTGGCATGTAAGTTGCACTGCTGCAAGCTGTAGCAGGGTTGAGGATCTGTTTAGCCTTGTGCTTGAATATCTCAGGTAAATTTGAGTCTCTTGATACTATTGTGCAGATATCTCAGCAGCAACAATTTCCATGGAACCATCCCGTCCGGCCTACTTCGGCTACCCAACTTGTACTGGCTGTAAGTAGCCCCAGTACACTTGTTTCAGAAGATTCTTTTCATTCCACCTTGTCTTTCTCTCAATGAAAGAAAGGGTGAAGGTCTGAGTATGGATACAAAAGTAGATACTATTATCCCTGATATGTCAAATGGTATTTTGCAAGTACTGTGCTCCACTGCCAAACACCATATCAGGAGGTTGCATGCTACCTGCTTTGGATGTTTCTACCTGCACCTCTCAAGCATCCCTCAAGATTGTTGTTGGCCTAGCCGATGCCACGGTGCATTCATGTGTGATGAGTCAATTTTTGAGTGCCAAAGCACATGAATGAATGCATTTGAGTTGACTCATAAGCCGTTTCGTAGAGGTCACAATGCATTCATGTGCTTTGGTTGGCAGTATGCTTGGTTTTCCAACTGCTGCATCCAGCCTTCCCTTTAATTTCCGAACGCAGGGATCTATTCAACAACTCTCTTTCTGGGGAACTCCCACGGACTCTCACAGTCTCACATTCTCTTCGCATGCTGTAAGAAGAACCACTGTGTGCTGCCACCACTGTGTGTGTCGCCACCATTGTGTGTGCCTGGTGCAATACTGTCTCTTCGTGGTTAACTTTCATGCCCCTGGAATCTTCGTCTCCCTTTGAATTGGGCAGTGGTCTGGGAGGAAATGACTTCACGGGCTCCTTACCAGACTTCTCACGTTGGAACGTCAGCTGTGAACAGATGTAAATAAGCCTTCTCACGCTCTTTTCCTCCTTTTCCCACTCTAAACAACGCTTGCTCAATCTTGGCCTTAGCACCACCAGGGTGCAAAATTGTGCCGTTTTATTTCATATTTTGGGCGAAAAAATCACGTACGATGTTTCACCCAACTTTTGATAAATTTGGTCTGGAAAAGTATTGTATCTTGGTGAAAAACTTCGACTGAAATTTTCAAATAATATTAATAAAAAAAAACAAGATATAAATTGTCAAAAGTCGATGGATGCAAATCATACTCGCATTCCGTTGCCAGATCCGTGCAGAGCGTGGGTGAAAGCAGGTTTCTGTACCTGACCCGGGGGCTTGCCAGGCTTGTCCCGGTCCTTTGGGTCGGGTTTATGGAAACCCCAACCCGGGAAGAATGGAGCTGACCCGACCCAGTACCCGCCCGGCTGGCCCAAATCGGGCCAGGTCGGGTTGGTTCAAATGCTCATTTTCGCATATAGTGCATTGCACCCATAGTAAGCTGTTGCGTTCACCCCACTCACGAGAGGCTATCTCGCTGCTGCCTCGCCTGTGTTGTGGCGCAGAAATCTCAGCGGCAACAACTTCACAGGGTCGATCCCCGACTCCATCTCCACCCTCACCAACCTCATTGGCATGTAAGGCTTCTCTTCTTGTGCCACAACAAGCCATAATGCCTGCCATGAGCACATACTCATGGAGCTATTCCCATCTGAACAAGGTGGGATGTCGTGTACAAAAGTCACCGTCGAACCTTTGTAGTGGCACGCAGCCAATGGCAGGAGAAAGGTAGCAGTGGCAGCCTATGCGCACACGCATCTACATATGCTTGATTTGCACTTCCAACCAATGTACCCCGTTGCTATTCCCTGCTCTGCAGTTTTCTCAACAACAACCTGCTAACTGGCACCATCCCTTCAGCCATCTTCACCATGAGGAATCTGACATACATGTAAGCCTCATGTGAGTAGGGATCCCCTTTCTAAGTGCCCATCACATGTTCCTACCTCTGCCCGGTGGTACTCCTGCACCAGCCTGCACTCCTCTTGCATTCGCTGCTTCTCATTGGAATATCTCCCTGCCATAGCTCTTGCTCTTCCGCTACTTCAGCTATTGCTCTTCAGCTACTCCTTGCTGTCTCCCCCTGTCATTGCTATTACCCTTCAAATACATCGCTCTGTCCCCCTGCCATTGCCATTGCCCGCCAGCTACTTGGCCAACAACCATCTGAGTGGCAGTCTACCAGATGCCATCAGTCGACTGGAGAATCTTGAACAGATGTAAGGGTGCTATGTGCTTTCCTCATACATTTTTCAAACAACATACAGGCATCACAAGCACAAGCTTGTAATACGTCGGTTCTATACGAAACCTAGCAAACTTCCACGCCATGAAATGAATACAAAAGACCAAAACACGCAAACATCACCTGTGTCATCCCCACTCCACCCCTTGCTCTTTATGCAACCATTCCCGCCTTCATTCCTGCCACTGCTCTGTCTGCTCACCCAGCTGGTTGGACAACAACAAGATTGAAGGCCCTCTGCCAACTGTCCTGTGCTCGCTGCCCTGGCTGTGGCGCTTGTGAGCAACACATGATTTTTTTTTTTTTTTTTTTTTTAATTTAATGTTTTTGCCAGCCGAGGGACTTACTCCTCATGTTTTCATGATTTTGGAGATTGTTGAAATGTATGGGTGTAATAGCTGATGTATGGGATGTTTGGGGAAATAGTTTCACTTTTGTGTGTTTGCCATTCTGTATGGGTGTGTGACCCACGGTTCGGCATGTTGTGTGCTGTGCTGCTGGCAGCATGATCAGCAACAACTACCTCTATGGACCCCTGCCTGACTGCTTCTTTGACACGTGCATCAGCCACATGTGAGCCTACCGTGCATACACCATTCTCAGTACCATCCATGAGAGCTCGCACTTTCGATGTGGGCATTGCACCGACAGTATTATGCACTCAGCTTTGACATCATTTTCTGGTAGGACATTTTGCAACCAAACATTCAATATCATTTTCTGCCCTCCATGATTCTCATGTGCTGCCCGCAGTGATGTGAGTGGCAACAGCCTGTATGGGCGCATCAACCGTGACTTTGAAAACATAGCGACGGATGGCAATGTCCTCATCAACTTGGCTCACAACTTCTTCTTTGGAGATGGGGTGCTCTTTGCTGCCGGCTGCAAGGCCTGCCCCACCGAAGCCAGCGAGCCCAACAACTTGTATATAAGGGACACCTCTGCATGGCAAAATTATGGTGGCAAGTGCGGCAATCTTGCTCAAAGTTCATCCGTGGCGAAGTCGGGCAAGACGGCGAGGGTGAGTCTGTCGGGCAACTGCCTAACCCTCACCCCAAGCAAGAAGTGCTCGCCCAACGCCGCCCAGCGCAGCAAGGCAGCCTGCCAGGCGTTTTGCAGCATGACTGACCTTGGCCCGTGTGACGGCCATGGGTCGTGTGTGCCGGCTGCCCCCGCCTCCCCCACCAACTTCACGTGCCTCTGTGATGCCGGGTACAGCACTGTCAACTCGGGCAACGGCTCCTCCACATGCGCCATCGTGCACTCCACCACCAGCACCACCACTGGTAACCCTCCACCACAACTGGTACCCCTTGATTCCTTCTTACAGCTCCATACTGCTACATCATTCCTATGTTCTACACCAATAGCTACGTTTCAAGTAGCTTCTGCTATACACACGCGTATCACCGCCCCATTTCCATTCCTTGCCTTGGCAGTGTCATCTCTGTCTATGAGCCTGTGTTCCTAAAGACGTCTCAAAACTCATCTGGCTGTTGTCATTATCACTCCTTTCTTCGCCTCGACAACACCCCCTAACCGCCACAATTCTCCTTTACGTCCCATTCCGTGGCAGTGTCGTCTCTGTCAACGGGTGCCATAGTTGGCATTGTTCTGGGCTGCTTTGCTGGCTTCTCCCTGCTGGCCGCGGTGGTCGCATGGCTGGTGTGGCCCCGCGGACCGAGTGAGAGCCCCTCAACCCTTCTTCACTTCCATTCCATCTCCCTCATGCTCGCCTCTACTCTGCCCTCATGCTCGCCTCTACTCTGCCCTCATGCTCGCCTCTACTCTGCCCTCATGCTCGCCTCTACTCTGCCCTCATGCTCGCCTCTACTCTGCCCTCATGCTCGCCTCTACTCTGCCCTCATGCTCACCTGTACTCTGCCCTCATGCTCGCCTCTACTCTGCCCTCATGCTCGCCTCTACTCTACCCTCATGCTCGCCTGTACTCTGCCCTCATGCTCGCCTGTATTATTTTCTCATGCTCGCCTGTACTCTGCCCTCATGCTCGCCTCTACTCTGCCCTCATGCTCGCCTGTACTCTGCCCTCATGCTCGCCTGTACTCTGCCCTCATGCTCGCCTCTACTCTGCCCTCATGCTCGCCTCTACTCTACCCTCATGCTCGCCTGTACTCTGCCCTCATGCTCGCCTGTACTCTGCCCTCATGCTCGCCTGTACTCTGCCCTCATGCTCACCTCTACTCTGCCCTCATGCTCGCCTCTACTCTGCCCTCATGCTCGCCTGTACTCTGCCCTCATGCTCGCCTCTACTCTGCCCTCATGCTCGCCTCTACTCTGCCCTCATGCTCGCTTGTATTATTTTCTCATGCTCGCCTCTACTCTGCCCTCATGCTCGCCTCTACTCTGCCCTCATGCTCGCCTCTACTCTGCCCTCATGCTCGCCTGTACTCTGCCCTCATGCTCGCCTCTACTCTGCCCTCATGCTCGCCTCTACTCTGCCCTCATGCTCGACTGTACTCTGCCCTCATGCTCGCCTCTACTTTGCCCTCATGCTCGCCTCTACTCTGCCCTCATGCTCACCTCTACTCTGCCCTCATGCTCGCCTCTACTCTGCCCTCATGCTCGCCTGTATTATTTTCTCATGCTCGCCTCTACTCTGCCCTCATGCTCGCCTCTACTCTGCCCTCATGCTCGCCTCTACTCTGCCCTCATGCTCGCCTCTACTCTGCCCTCATGCTCGCCTGTATTATTTTCTCATGCTCGCCTCTACTCTGCCCTCATGCTCGCCTCTACTCTGCCCTCATGCTCGCCAGTACTCTGCCCTCATGCTCGCCTCTACTCTGCCCTCATGCTCGCCTCTACTCTGCCCTCATGCTCGCTTGTATTATTTTCTCATGCTCGCCTCTACTCTGCCCTCATGCTCGCCTCTACTCTGCCCTCATGCTCGCCTCTACTCTGCCCTCATGCTCGCCTGTACTCTGCCCTCATGCTCGCCTCTACTCTGCCCTCATGCTCGCCTCTACTCTGCCCTCATGCTCGACTGTACTCTGCCCTCATGCTCGCCTCTACTCTGCCCTCATGCTCGCCTCTCCTCTGCCCTCATGCTCACCTCTACTCTGCCCTCATGCTCGCCTCTACTCTGCCCTCATGCTCGCCTGTATTATTTTCTCATGCTCGCCTCTACTCTGCCCTCATGCTCGCCTCTACTCTGCCCTCATGCTCGCCTCTACTCTGCCCTCATGCTCGCCTCTACTCTGCCCTCATGCTCGCCTGTATTATTTTCTCATGCTCGCCTCTACTCTGCCCTCATGCTCGCCTCTACTCTGCCCTCATGCTCGCCTGTACTCTGCCCTCATGCTCGCCTCTACTCTGCCCTCATGCTCGCCTCTACTCTGCCCTCATGCTCGCCTCTACTCTGCCCTCATGCTCGTCTCTACTCTGCCCTCATGCTCGTCTCTACTCTGCCCTCATGCTCGCCTGTACTCTGCCCTCATGCTCGCCTGTACTCTGCCCTCATGCTCGCCTCTACTCTGCCCTCATGCTCGCCTGTACTCTGCCCTCATGCTCGCCTCTACTCTGCCCTCATGCTCGCCTCTACTCTGCCCTCATGCTCGCCTCTACTCTGCCCTCATGCTCGCCTCTACTCTGCCCTCATGCTCGCCTCTACTCTGCCCTCATGCTCGGCTCCACTCTTTTCTCATGCTCTGTCCACGCATCTACATCCTTAGTCCCTCACACCTCTAGTCTGGAATTTTTCTGTGTGCAGAGAAGTGGGAGGGGCTGGATGTGTGCGAGAAATTCTCGCTGCAGCAGATGCTAAGGGCCACCAACAACTGGTCGGAGGACAATGTGCTGGGCAAGGGTGGCTTTGGCATTGTATACAAAGGCTGCTCTCCACAGGGCCAGCTGTGGGCCATCAAGCGATCCACCATCATGACCAACGACTTCGAAACGGAGGTGAGGACAAAAAAATCAGTACTTGTCAGAACACATGCACTGTGAATCCTCGATTGATCCCAGGGAAGGTTTACAAGCACTCTTGCATGGGGTTTATGGATGCACTCACCCGCTCCTTAACAACCATTCCATCCTAGTTGTGCAGTAGCTTAAATTCTGACGTGATAGCAGAGCAAAGGTTTCCGACTCGAAACTTCATATGCGCACATACTGGCGCCCATGTGTTGTTGCCACTGTACCGTGTCCTAAGGCATCCCAGTGAGGGGTGAGGGGTTGGGGGGGGGTGCCAGTAGACGTGCACTGGGGATCCCCCGATTGATACTGAGAAATGGTTACAAGCACGCTTGCCTAGGGGATAATGGACGCGCTCACTACTTAAAAAACGCTTTTATCCCAGTGGTGTAGTGATTTAGATTCTAGGAATATTTTTTGTTGCTCAGAATGCTAACATTCTAATTCGGGGCCACATTGTGTTCTTCAAAATGCTGACCTCCAGCTTAAATCCATGCACATCCCCCTGCATTGTGATCCATGTTCATGTGACAACTGCTGACCTGCGAACTGAATGCCCGCCATTCCATGGCCATGTGCGTCATTGCCTGTCTTGTGTTCTCACTACAGGTGCGAGCCATGGCCTCTCTCCACCACACACACCTCGTGCGCCTGCTGGGCTTTTGCCTGGACCAGAACGTGGAGACAGGCAAGCAGGAGCAGATCCTCGTGTACGATTTCATAGGCAATAGGGACATGGAGTACCATATCCACAAGACCAAGCGTGAGTTTGCACTATGGTTGCCACGCGCCTTTTGTTTACATTATTATTAATTTTCTTGCACAGCATGACACCATCACCCACAAACCTATCATCCATATGTTGTTTGTTTTTCTCACTACATGGTATACTCATTGCATGGCCCAGGTCCGCTGTCTCTACGCCAGAGGCTGCGCCTGGCACTGGGAGCAGCAGAGGGCTTGGCGTACCTGCACGGGTTTGACACGCCCATCGTTCACCGCAACATCAAGCCCGCCAACATTCTTGTGACTGAAGACATGCAAGCCAAGGTGGCTGAATTTGGGCTGCTCAAGCGCCTCACTCACGGCGATGCTGATGCCACGCGAGTTGCTGGCACTCCGGGCTATGTGGATCCGGATTACAACCGCACCAATGTCATCACAGCCAAGAGTGACGTGTTCAGGTCAGTATGCTTGTTCCTTTCCACAACACGTTACACTTCTGCGCCCCTGTTTCTCTTAATATCCAGGTTATGCTAAATACATGTACCCTGTACCTCTCTCTCTTTTTTTCTCCATCTTTTTCCCTCTTATATTAAATGCATGATTGCTTGCAGCTTTGGAGTCGTGCTTCTTGAGCTGCTGAGTGGAAAGTCGCCCCAAGTCAACACAAGAACGCACATATGCAAATGGGTAAGTGTGTTATCCAAGATTTGAGTTTGCTAAAAAACAAATAAAAATAGTGCATTTAAGATAATGTTAATGTCCATCGGATCTCAAATGGATCTAATGGCCACTCATTTATCCGTACTTCACTTTTGTGCTACCACTCATTTGTACAGTAATGTTTTTGTCATCTTGCTGCCTTCCACCGTCTTCCATACTTAGCATGCTGCTTTCCATCACCCTTTCTTTTATAAACCCCTTCCAGGCTATGAAGCTGGTGGAGACATATGAGCTAGAAGAGCTGAGGGACAGCAAGATGCCGGCGGCAAGTGAAGAGGCTATAGTGGAACTTGCAGACCTGGCTCTGGACTGCATCAAGTCTCCTGGCACACGGCGACCCACTATGAAGGATGTGGCATACCGCCTCAGTGCCCTCATTGCCAAGCACTGCCCCGACAAGGAGGATGAGTGGGAGAGTGCCACAGAAGAAGAGAGTGAAAGCAACAAGGGTAGTTAAACTAGGGATCCTTTTGCTGTGTCATTTGGAGACAGCAGGAGGGAGGCTAAGAGGCCGCATGGTTCACAGTCTGGTGTGAGTTCATTTGTGCGCGATGGCTCGATAGGTGATGGCCTCAAGAGCTGGCTGCACTCGAAGCCAACCAAAGGGCGTTAAAAATGCCCATAATGACGGTACCCATGTGTATTTGGCATGAATGTTTACTGTAATTCCCCGGGTATAACACCCTAGCGTGATATAAACTCTACAAATAAAGGCGTCCCTTTTCAACGGGTACAAAATATGAAGGACCCGAGTTGCTTCGCATGAAAATATTGTGCAAAGTTATAACAAACAACGTGGCAGGTTTTATCCACAACCTTGTTGAACATACTTGCATTGCCAGGATATAGGACATAAAGCATCCGACACTGATTGGGAAAATGCATTGTTATATTGTAAAATTAATGGTTTTTTTTAGCTGAATTATTTTGCTAGCAGACATTTGGTATGACATGGCTACATTGAATCTATCTTCACCAACCTTGCGAAATATGCCATAACGAAAGTCCCGCTTCGATTCAACCAGAATAAGGGCGTGGAACCGGTTCTGCCATTACGAAGTTATGGCTCGGACAGCGTTTGCCTAGTGTTGGAGTGCTAGCGTACTAGCGTTGACTCGGGTAGCATTCCGCCGTTGCAACGCGTAGAAACGAAATTCCAGGAAGGAAGGAATTCGCTTGAATCAAATTGAGTATATCCAGGTACAAACAGAGAAGGAATAAGTAGTTCTAGCTAGCAAGGACCTTGGGAATAAACCTGGGAACAACCAGGGATGATCCCAAATAATTCCAAGCAACAGAACCAACCTGGCTAGACAAAACAGCAGGTGGTAGGTTGGTAAACAACCTCTGGTTCTATTTTTCCAACCTGGGAAAACAACAAAAGATGAAGCATAACTTCGTATCAAAAGATGAAGCATTTCTTGAGTTCTGAATTTTGGCGCCCTAAGGGATATGCTGTAGCTGAAACTTAACTCAATCACAATTGTTCACACAAGAACCACAAAGAATATTCTGTCAACGGGAGTTGTGTGTTGGCCCCGTCCTCGCTTGGGCGGAGCCGACATCGTGGTCGGGGTGAGGGGAGCAGCCGACCTGCAGCAGTGGGCCAGCTGGTTGATGAGGAGGTCGACCTGCACGGGGATCACTGCACGGGCGCTGACTCCAGGGTGGCGCCGACTTCGGGGGGGGGTCGACTTGGGAGTCGACCTGCGGAGGACGTCAACTTGGTGACATCAACTTGGGGAAGCCGACTTCGGTGGTCGGGTGACGGACTGCTGGTCGACCTGCGGGTGGTCGACTGGACCTGGTGGTCGACGAAGGAGGGGCCGACATCGACCTCGACTCAGGACACCGAGCAGTTGGGCGTCGAGTAGCGGGGCGTCAACTTCGTGACGCCAACTTCGGGAGCAGCTGGTCGACGTGGTTACCCGGTCGACCAGGTTACCTGGGTGACGAAGTGCTGCGGAGGAGTGCGACGGTCGCCCAGGCGAAGTTGGCGAGCCCGACCTCGGTGGTGGTATCCCGAGGTCGACGTGGCCGATCAGAAGCAGTCGTCAGCACGAGGTTGACGTGGTGTGTGCGCTGTGCAGGTGACGAGACTCTGCACGCCAATCATCTGCGCGCACCTGCGAAGCGGGTGCACTGCTGTTCTGCACAAGCAACGCTGGCACGCTGTCAACCTGCGACGTTGGCACGCCGTCGACCTTGCCTTGCTGGAGCGCGGTCGACCAAGTCGTGCTGGAACGCGGTCGACCAAGCTGCGCTGGCAGTTGGCCGACCTGAATGCTTGCTCTGATGTAGTCTTGCTATGCCAACTTCATTGTATCATTGTTCTGAACTTTTCCTAGTGGAACTCTTGCCAATTTTCCCCGTGAACTAGCAAGTAGTGTGTGCACAAGGAAAACGACTAAGGACTAACGAACGCAGAGATCACACGAGCACCCGTGCCTAGCTCGTAGTCTAGCTCCCGTTGTAGCAGTTATCTCCGCATGGTGCGGTGAGCGTGGACGGCACACGACTTACCTTTCAGTCAGGTCGACGTAGACACCACTTACCTATTTCGTAGTTACAGGACGGCAACTGTGCGGTAGTCACTATGGTAGGAGCCGTAGGTGACGCGGGGGTGGTGGACTCCCTGGAGGCACGGTTGGAGAACGCGAGGAGGAAGCACGAGGCCAACGAGTATGGCGACTTGCCCTGGGCGGTCGTCGAGGCTGGACTCCGCTCCATGTGGGCGACGGAGCACCCGTCTCGACCTGCCTCTCCTCGTCCGGTGAACAACGAAGGCGGCGTCGACGTGGGCGTCAACGCCGGTGGTGGTCAAGTCGGCAGCAGTGCTGGAGGCACGTCGAGGCAGAGAGGTGTGATACACGCCGGTGAAGTCGGCGGCGTTCAGGCGCGAGGGATGCAGTCGTCGGCGGCTGCAGGCTCTTCGCAGGGTGACGTCGGAGGTCGACGGAGTGGGCTGTCGCCGATGTCGGCGTCCCAGGTGATGGCAGGCGGGATTGCGCCGAGCTACGGCTACTTCAAGTTCACGCCGGACAGGATCTCAGTCACCCCCCCACTGGTCGGTCGACCCGACATTCTCACCTGGAAGGAAGCTATCGAGCCCCAGCTGGAGATGGCCGGGCTGATCGGCTTCGCCCGAGGGACCGTGGCGACGCCGGGGGAGCACCACCCCGACTTGCGGGCGGAGTTTCGCGCCGTGCAGCTGTTGACCTTCACGATCATCTCGCGGTGCTGCTCGCCGGGCGTGCAGATCGCCTTAAAGTGGTGCCGGGAGTACATCGACGCCGGCCACCGGGCGTGGCACTTCATTGAGTCGACGTACCAGGTCACCGACGACCTGTTCATCGCCCAGCTGGAGGGACAGCTGACGCACCTGCGTATGGGTGACGAGGAGACAGCGACTGACTACTGCAACCGAGCCCGGCGAATTCTCGCAACTATCAGGATGGCCGGCGCGCAGTACTCCACGGCGTCGTACATCACCCATGTCATGCAGGGACTTTTTAGCAGCTATAACCTCCTGAAGCGGCTGTCAATGGCGCCGAGCACAAGGGCGACGCTCAATGAGGACAACCTGACCTCGTACATCCTGCAGGACGAGGCGATGCAGGAGGCTGAGCGATCACAGGAACTCTTGGCGCAGGCCAACTTCGTCGCCCCGGCGAAGCAAGGAGGCCAACCAGGACAGCGCGGACAGTGTGGTGGCGGCGGGAGTGGTGGCTGGAAGTCGACCAAGGAGGTCGAGAAGAAGTCGACCAAGGACGGCGGTCGAGGAGGAGGAGGTCGACGTCGAGAGTGCTGGATCTGCCACAGCCCCGATCACCTCTCCTTCGAGTGTCCCGACCGCAGTGACTCCGACGACGACGACGACAAGGGCGGCCGCGGGAGGTGGAGCAGTCGTCGTCCTCGTCGAAGAGGGAAACCGGCCGCGCAAGGAGAAGCAGTCGACCAAGATGTCGACTTCGGCGAAGGACGCCGACTCCCCTGCTGGCGGCAAGGCGCGCGATGACAAGACGGCGTCGTGCTCGCTGGTCAGCGTCGTGGAGCGGACCGTCTCGCTGGCGCCGGAGGCCGGAGAGGACTTCCAGGCGATGGCGGCAGCTGTGCAGGCGAACCCGGCGGTGGTCCTGCTCGACAGCGGTTGCTCCCACCACCTGATGGGGACGAAGGAAGCCTTCGTCGACCTGCAGCCGAGCGGCGCCATCAGGCATGTGCGCGGCTTCAATGGGGCGTTGCAGGACGTCCAGGGCCGTGGCACCGTCGCCCTACAAGGGGAGGCCGGGAAGCAGGTACTCATCCCCGACGTACTGTATGTCCCGGGTGTGCGGGCCAACCTGCTGTCGTCCGGCCAGCTGAAGGAGCACGGCGTGAAGCTGCACGAGGACGGAGAGGGAATGATGCTCGTCTCTGCAGCCGGAGCGGTGCTCGGTCGGGCGACGTACTCCGGGCGTGTCCTCTGCACCGACCTGCGTCCGTGCTCAACAAGGTCGACGTCGCCCACGACGGAGGTTGTGGCTCTGCGGGCGATCGTCTCAAAGACGAAGTCGACGCCGGACCGGATGCATGCGCGGCTTGCACATGTCGGCATGGACACCATACGGAGCTCGGCGAAGAACGAGGTCGCCATTGGGCTGGACCTCAAGTCGGCGATGGACGCCGACTCCCTGTGTGTCACGTGCGTCGGCGGGAAACTGGCGCGGCACACCTTCCCCGACCAAGGCTCTGACGCCGACGACGTGCTGGCCGTCGTGCACATCGACCTGTGCGGGCCGTTCTGCGTGGCTGCCAAGGATAGCAGCCTGTACTTCTTGCTGCTGAAGGACCGCAAGACCCGCTACGTGTGGGTGAAGCCGGTCGCCAAGAAGTCAGATGCGTTGCGGGTGTTCGTGCAGTGGCTGGCGGTGGCTGAGCGGCAGACGAAGAAGTCGGTGTTGATGCTGCGCTCTAACCGGGGAGGGGAGTTCCTCGGGAAGCAGTTCACCGACTTCGTGAACGGCAAGGGGATCGTCCACGACGTGACCTGCCCATACACCCCGCAGCAGAACGGCATGGCGGAGCGGGAGATGAGGACGGTGGTGGAGTCGGTGCGGACAATGCTGCTGCACATGGGCGTGCAGCACCACTGGTGGCACCTCGCTCTCCGGCAGGCCGTCTGGGTCCGCAACTGCCTTGAGAGGTCGGCGCTGCCGCCGGGGACGACGCCGTACCAGCTGCTGACCGGGAAGAAGCCCGACTTGTCGCTGGCACGGGTGTGGGGCTGCATGGTGCAGTTCCTTGTCCCTGAGCAGCAGCGTGGTGGGAAGCTGAAGCCGAAGGCCAGGTGGGGCCTGCACCTTGGCGTGTCGGCGGCGAGCAAGGGCTGGGAGCTCCTCGACGTCGACACCGACCGAGTGGTCACCACGTTGGACGTGGTGTTCTACAAGGAGATGTCGCTGGCCGAGTGGAAGA